GCAAACTCATGTCTTTTATAGGGCTGGTTTTGTGCGCAGGGGCGAAGTCATGCTGGAACAAAAAAGGGCCTTCCCCAAACAGTTGCCAAAGGATTGTACACATAACAGAAAATACTTGATGTCAGTTTGGCTGTATGTCAACATGCTTTTGGCCATATAATGAAACTTTCCACTAACTTTTTATCAAACATGTTTCTGACAGAATCAGAAGCTGAGTTTGAATCACACAGCTTTTCATTTTTTTACTTAACATGCAAACATAATTAAAGGGTAGTCAGGTCTTATATTAGCACAGCACTACTTCTGAACAACATAGGGGGAATTTATTAATCCTAGTAAATCTGTCACATGATATCTTTTCATAGCTGTAGTGTAGTGTGTATTGACTTGCTGGGTGGTAAGACTGATAAATGTCTCATGCTGTATTGATGACTGTATTTCATTTCATAACTGGAGCTCTACTTTAAATCATGTTTTTTGTAGTTCCTATTGAAAATTATTTCATACAATCAAGTTCTTACACAAAGGGGTTACAGTGGATTTGCAAAGAAAAAAAACAGATGGACAATATAGATGATGAGAGCAGGTTGATTTAGTGGGAGTGTTTGTCCTGTCAACTAGAATCATCCCTTCTCTCTAAGTGCTTATTATGGGGGAGAGGCTGACGCATTTGAAAGAATTAGATAGGATAATGCGGTGATTTCTACCAGGAATAATGCTTTTCTTAGGCAGGCAATTCAGGAAAGATGCTACCGGCATTTACAAAATAATGGGCACCTTATATGCAATAATGTTATATTATTTACAGGTAAACCTAACTTCAAAACTTGAAACTTGTTCATGCTCACATAATATTAGGTATTGATTTATTATAAACCTTTAGGAGTAGTGATATTCTGTAACTAAAACTAACTAAAAAGCAGCTTTTAGACACATATACGCATGTGATGTGAAAGCACATCTGAGCAGAGAATTTATGCATTATAAATGTACTATCAGTAATATGTGTTTTCCAGCACTTTGTGAGTGACAGAGTCAAAACTAGACATTGAAATGAATGAAGACATTTAATCTTTATGGTGGGAACCCTTACAATAAAAACAATATTGGAAATTCTATATGAAAAAATGTAAGGGGTACATAATTAATTTTAGAGAAACATTGCAGCCCAATTTCACCTCTGATACTAGCTCTTGTGAGCTAATAATTTCTCTTTTTTTTTTTCAGATCACAAAGGAGAACATCATTTTCAATTTGCTGCAAATATTATGGAGGTTGAATATGAGCAGAGTACGGCTAAAACAATATTTATTGACTGATAATTGACCCATTTATTGGAACTGTCAATAGAGAATATCATGCACCACAAATTGACAAGAATAAGGATTTTCCATTTGGTTTCTCTTTAATACATTAAAAACCAGAGACGTTCTAGGATAGCACCCAGTAATATATATTCAAAACAAAGGTTTAAAAATTATTTCCAAATGTATTAGTCACATCATACAAAAGTTTTAAAGAATCACATATGATGCTCAGTACTGCATTTCTTATTTTTCTACCAAATACAAAGACAAATTATTTGAACTATACTGAATATCCTGTTTCACAGATAGCAGGTTGTGGTTAAGTCGATAGCTCCACTTCATCAGGACCAGCAGTGAAAGGGTTACTAGACATTCATGCAATAACACTGATCTCAATAAAGTATTCACAATTGATCTTTCATTTAACAAATATAAAAATGAATATAATAAAAATACATATAGATACCTCATCCATATATAAGATAAAAGGTGAGCAGTATTCCCTAACATCAGACACTCCACAAGAACTCACTTATAGCATCATAGGTTATGTCAATCTAAGCTATGGTCATATTCACAAAGGTATACAAGGGAATAAACATCTCGTATAAAATAGAATATATCCTTTATCTCTCGTTTTCTTGTCAATCTATTTAATCAAACAAAGAGGATTGCCCTCTTTTACTCTAGTAGTATGGTAGTTTTATATTTCTTTAAAGAAAAGTGTGGGGTTTTAAAAAATAAATATCAATACTCAACTAGGTGGATGCAGCAACAGTCCAATGTTGCAGCTGTCCCCTGTCGTCTTTAAGATAGGGAAGCGAGCAATCACAAAACCATGGATCGCTCAGTTCTCTGCCTTCCGTGTGTAGAGAGCCAGTGACTGTCAGTCACTAGTGCTTTGCTCTGCCCCTCCAGAGCTCACTGGAGTACTGGGCTTTGGATGGGGTGGGAGTGTCTTTAAATTCGGGATCCATCCAGAGTCTGGATTGGGTGAGTGATGTCAGCCAACAGCGGCTCACTGGAGTGCCTGGTTGTGGGGGAGGCGGGATCGGCTGGCTCAGGCTCTCGGCAGCATGCTGAAAGGCTGAGCCAGCTGTCTGTCAGGTATCTGGGTGGATCCCAACATTAAAATTAGGATCCCTCCAGAGTCTGGAGCTTTAGCCCACTGTCAGCTGAAAGTGGGTTACAGAAGTGCAGAGCTAAGTGCACATCTATGACCCACAGGAGAGGTAGGGCCTAAAAGCTGGCCCTACTTTTCCTGGAAATCTACCATGATGAAAAAAATGAGGAACTAATTTAGGTTCTTCTTTCAATAAGAACTTATAAATTATAGATAGTACATTACTTCATATAAGCTTTCCAAATTCATGCTACTCACTTTCCCCAATACTGGGGATTCTGTAGAGCTATAGGATTATTACCCCACATACCTCAGGTTGCAATTTATTAATCTCTCCCCTCTACATTTCAGGATAGATCAATTCCCCTTCTTCATTAGAACTCTTAGTAACTATCTCCTGTTAGCTTTTAAGTTAAATATCACCATCCAGTACTATGGAATAGAATGCACTCTCCAGGCCTTCTGGAGTTTTTCAATGATTTGAATCTTCAATGCTCCTTTGAAAAAATAGGTGCTCTGAAAATAATGAATATATGCGTTTCTATTCTGCTTGGTACAAATGGTTACATAACCTCAGATATAACATTTGCCATAGTTCTCTGACCATAATATTTTAGTTGACTGGTCAGCCTTGTTATGGTTCTGAAACGTACCATCCAGTTCCTTGGATACCTTCCCATTCGCCTCCTTTTTTCCCCTCCTGCCCATTTCCTCTTTCCCTTCTTCCCATCCGGTCCACTCTTCCTTTCTCCATTCTCATTAGGGGGCCCTTGGCACACTAACACATACTGATGTAATGCATGTTCACACTACTCAGTTACTAACTATCTTCTGATAACTACACTGCAGCTTTTGACCATTGTAATGTATTGATTTCTTTCAACATCAGATGAGGAAAGTGATCTGCAGGGAGGTGAGAGGCCCTCCACTGTCAGAGCTGGTGTGTGGACAACTAGATGGGACCCTAATAGCAAGCAGCTTCTCAAAAAGATCCAGCCACTGTAGGGAGCCCCCCTCAAATGGTATCAGAGCACTCCAATTCCAGTGGGTTGACTCTTTGTTCCTGGGCCTTGGATCCATCTATTGTTACCAGAGATACCTTTGATATCGCTTTAATGGATGCTGTTTATAAGGATCATCACAGATAGCTTTGATCAGCACTGTTTTACTTAAATAATGACCATCAGCAAGACTCTCGTTTTTAACAGAGTCTTATAGAGACTATGCTATGCAGTCATGTTACCCTGACTGAGTGAACAATCAGATTGTTAGGTATATGGTTAGCTTGAGATAGCTGTTCCTAGAACAAATGTACTCAGTGGAACATTTCCCCTAACCTAAAATTTTGGATTAACATTCAATTTCTTTCTCAGTGACAATAGTCACCAGTACAGTTAGACAGGTGAATCTCCCCAATAAGGTCACAGATAGCAATGAAAACTGACTGAAGAGTATAACCCTTCTATACTCTATCCACAACTAAAAGAAAAAGGTTTTGCCTAGAGATACAATACACTTTAAAGTGATTGTAAACACACAGATTTTTTTTTTTTTTTAAATAACGAACATGTCGTACTTACCTGATTGCGTAATGCTTTTGCACAGAGCAGCCGTGATTATCATCTTCTCGGGTCCTCTGACGGCGCTCCTGGGTCTACTTTGCTGCGTGCCCCTTTAGCAAGTCGCCTGCTGTAGGGGCATTCATGCATGCTTACACAAGAGCTGGCTCTGTATGTCCATAAAAACACACAGAGCCCGGCTTGGCCTGCCCCCAGCTCCCTGCTCACTGGCTGGGAGTGACAGCAGCAGGCACCAATGGCTCCCGCTGCTGTGTCTGAGCCAATGAGGAAAGAGAGAGAGCTGAGAGAGCCTGTGCTCTCATGCACATCACTGGATCGAGATTGTGCTCAGGTAAGTATTTAGGGGGACTGGGGGAGATGCTTTTGCAGAATGTTTTTTCTATGCATTAAGGCAACAAAAACTGCCTTTAGAACCACTTTAAGGTACCATATTTTTCGCTCCATAAGAAGCACTTTTTTCCCCCCGAAAAAATAGGGGAATATGTCTGTTCGTCTTATGGAGTGGCAGGCATGGTATTCCCCGTTGCCATGTTAGAATAGCGGGCCGGCTGCTCGGCTCTACCGTGCAGAAGAACCTGCTCCTCCATCCTACCTCTTCCTCAGTCCAGTGGTGTCCCGCTTCCATCGGCCGTCTTCTTCTCCTGGCGCCGGCATCTTCAGTGTGAGCACCCGGCTGTGACAGCTTGTGGCTTCACAGCCTGGTGCCCAGTGCGCTTTGTGAATGGCCCCGTAGCCTTGTGGGACCTTTCACGTGTCCCACAAGACTACGAGAGGGAGGGGGGGAGGACAACTCTGCGGATGTGGGAGCGGATACCTGTCAAATTTGGGTACCCACCCCCCCTCCGCAAATGTCTGAACTCTTGGGTACCCTGTACTATGTCCCAGTCTCTGATCATCTCCTGTAGTATGTCCGCAGTCTCTGGTCAACTCTCTGTATGTCCGCAGTCTCTGGTCATCTCCTGTACTATGTCCGCAGTCTCTTGATCATCTCCTGTACTATGTCCGCAGTCTCTGGTCATCTCCTGTACTATGTCCGCAGTCACTGGTCATCTCCTGTACTATGTCCGCAGTCTTTGTCATCTCCTGTACTATGTCCGCAGTCACTGTCATCTCCTGTACTATGTCCGCAGTCTCTGGTCATCTCCTGTGTACTATGTCCGCAGTCTCTGGTCATCTCCTGTACTGTGTCCGCAGTCCCTGGTCATCTCCTGTACTATGTCCGCAGTCTCTGGTCATCTCCTGTACTATGTCCGCAGTCTCTGTTCATCTCCTGTGCTATGTCCGCAGTCTTTGGTCATCTCCTGTACTATGTTCACAGTCTCTGGTCATCTCCTGTACTATGTCCACAGTCTTTGGCCATCTCCTGTACTATGTTTGCAGTCTCTGGTCATCTCCTGTACTATGTTCCGCTGTCTCTGGTCATCTCCTGTACTATATCTGCAGTCTCCTGGTCATATCCTGTACTATGTCTCGCAGTCTCTGGTCATCTCCTGTACTATTTCTGCAGTCTCTGGTCATCTCCTGTACTATGTCCAGTCTCTGGTCATCTCTTGTACTATGTCTGCAGTCTCTGGTCATCTCCTGTACTATGTCCACAGTCTCTGGTCATCTCTCTGTACTATGTCCGCAGTCTCTGGTCATCTCCTGTACTATGTCCGCACAGTCTCTGGTCATCTCCTGTACTATGTCCGCAGTCTCTGGTCATCTCCTGTACTATGTCCGCAGTCTCTGGTCATTTCCTGTACTATGTCTGCAGTCTCTGGTCATTTTCTGTACTATGTCCGTAATCTCTGGTCATTTCCTGTAGTATGTCCACAGTCTCTGGTCATTTCCGGTACTATGTCTGCAGTCTCTGGTCATCTCCTGTATTATGTCCACAGTCTCTGGTCATCTCCTGTATTATGTCCACAGTCTCTGGTCATCTCCTGTACTATGTCTGCAGTCTCAGGTCATTTCCTGTACTATGTCCGCAGTCTCTGGTCATCTCCTGTAGTATGTCCGCAGTCTCTGGTCATTTTCCGGTACTATGTCTGCAGTCTCTGGTCATCTCCTGTAGTATGTCCGCAGTCTCTGGTCATTTCCGGTACTATGTCTGCAGTCTCTGGTCATCTCCTGTATTATGTCCACAGTCTCTGGTCATCTCCTGTATTATGTCCACAGTCTCTGGTCATCTCCTGTACTATGTCTGCAGTCTCAGGTCATTTCCTGTACTATGTCCGCAGTCTCTGGTCATCTCCTGTAGTATGTCCGCAGTCTCTGGTCATTTCCGGTACTATGTCTGCAGTCTCAGGTCATTTTCTGTACTATGTCCGTAATCTCTGGTCATTTCCTGTAGTATGTCCGCAGTCTCTGGTCATTTCCGGTACTATGTCTGCAGTCTCTGGTCATCTCCTGTATTATGTCCACAGTCTCTGGTCATCTCCTGTATTATGTCCACAGTCTCTGGTCATCTCCTGTACTATGTCTGCAGTCTCTGGTCATTTCCTGTACTATGTCCACAGTCTCTGGTCATTTCCTGTACTGTACTGTCATTCCTGCAGTCTCTGGTCATTTCCTGTGCTGTACTCTGTCATTTCCTGTGCTAAGTCTCTGGCATCTCCTGTACCTGTAGTATGTCCTGGTCATTTCCTCTCTGGTCATTCTGGTCATCTCCTGTAGTACTCCGCATGTCTCTGGTCATTTCCTGTACAGTCTCTCTGGTTATCTCCTGTACTATGTCTGCAGTCTCTGGTCATCTTCTGTACTGTGTCCACAGTCTCTGGTCATCTCCTGTACTATGTCTGCAGTCTCTGGTCATCTCCTGTACTATGTCTGGAGTCTCAGGTCATTTCCTGTACTATGTCTGCAGGCCATTGATTCAAAATTTTGTTTTCTTGTTTTCCTCCTCTAAAATCTAGGTACATCTTATGGAGCGAAAAATACGGTACTTGTTCAGGTACTTCCTATTAGAGCTACAATGCTTTTTGCCTCTGCCTTTGCTTTATTGTCCTGTCATCCAAAGGAGACTATAAGTAATGATTTCAACACTTATAATACCGTTGTGGTCTACTGTTGTCAGCATTATAAAATCCGCCCTGAGAAATGCGATGCAGCCATTGCTTAAGTACTGTACAATGTAGACAGGAAGTGCTTGCCGGATATCACCTGCATTGAAATACAGCAAAGAATGAAAACATAAAATATATTTTATTGAAAAAAAGTCAATTGTTTATGATTTACAGTACGGTCCTTTTACAAAGTAAATGCCATTCAGTTATGTTTTACATCTACTTTAACCTTTATGTGTATTAGTTATGAACATTGCTAATATGTAATTTTGAAAACCTATTCACTACTAGTATGCGTATTGCACTTCTTCCATCTATTGATGCTTCCATATCTTTTATCTCAGCAGTTGTAACAATAATATTTTAACTCATTAGCAGGAAGGACAGGTGGAACATTACACCTATTGTAGGGAAGCGGAGACGCCTGGTAAGGCTGCCATTATGTACATTTTTCATGCTCACCTGCTGTCTGGAGTCTCATATTGCAAAATGGTATCACTGTGATCTTGTCAAGCCTGGAAGCACTAAACTTATTATTATGACTTGTTATTGGGATTATGTTAACATTTTCACATCATCCTAACAGCAATTAAATTATACATATTGGAGACATTTCCCCAGCAGTTTTCTTTCAAATGATTTGTTGCAGGGATGAATTTCAGAGAAAGGGGGACAGCTGTTTAATGAAAACCTGCTTGACTCTTTAGAACATCTAGATTAGAATTCTTTGGGGCAGAGAAAGGTTCAAATTTTGTGTCTGCTCTGACATAACAATAAACCTAACATTTGTGCTTACTGCATAATGATCTGCAATAATTAGAGATGACAGCGACATAAAGCTGAACTCCGGGTAAGTATAAATACTTTGTACACATATTCATACAGCTCTGTATTCAATAGCACATCCTTAAATATGTGTTTTTTTAATGCAAGTCTTGTAAGTACCTGAATTTGGCTTGGTATCAGCCTCTTGCAGTGCTTGTACAGCAGAGCTCAGACTGGGAGAGGGAAGCAAAGCACACAAAGCCAATTAGATGTGCTGCAGTACAGGAAGCATTCAGATAGAGAGGGAGAGAAGAGAATGACAGAGAAAGGACCTAATTAGGTTGCTGCTTCTCCTTCCACTTCTCCTTTTGTCAAGGCTTGGGGAGGGACAAGATATTTAAGCATTATTTAACTGCAACAGAGAAAAATCAGGTCTTCCATATTGCCAAACAGGGCTCTGCTGTGTGGAAAAGCTTTGTAAATCTCTAGACAGAAATACAAATCATTTGGCAGGTAAAATGGCTTGCTTGTGTGAATTTCCTCTGGGTACTTAGCTATGTGCCTGGAATTTAGCTTTAGCTTTAAAGGGTAACTCCACTTTCATGAAGAAAAATGATAGCAAGGAATACAAAAATAATTTAGCATATACAATTGCTAAAGAAGCCATTAAAATTACCTTTCCTTTTCAAACCTCAAAGCCTCACCAAACTGCATTTTCTGATGCATGGGGGTGCCATTTAGAACTTATGGCACCTCTGTGTGTCTGCGAAAGAACGGCACAAGAAAGCACATGATGTTGCACATTCCTGAACCCCATAGATCTGAACCAAGCCCTAAATTCCCTAAATAAAGTGCTTGCCATCACCATAAGTGCATACCATTCAAGTACACAATATGACATTACAGTTCTCCGAACATGTAGTTGAGTGCATGTTTATGTATTGTTTATGTTATATGATTCACACCATTTTACAGAGCAGAGTAAAATATGCATTCGTTTTTCAAGCCCATGCATACCCCATGTACTGTAATTTTGCAGCAGTTGGAAGTTGTAGATAAAAGAAGAATGGTTTGGTGCAATGACTAAACAGTCAGTTGTCCTAACAAATGTGAAACCCACCTCTAAGTAAAATGTATTTGTGCACTGTGTTTAATAGTTCTTTTATATAAAGAAACATGCTTTTCAGGTTTTCTGGCTTTTTAAACAAGCAACATCAGTGTCATTTTTATATAAATGTCAGTCCATGTTTTGCGCAGCTTGTCATGTTACCTTGTACTTTCATCTCTTCAAAGCCAGCCATTAGCTTTCTTAATTGTTTCAATGTGTTTTATTCTTGTTTTGTCACCAGATTGTGAATAACTAGTCAAATGTGCCCTAGTAAAGTAATAACAATGCAGGGACAAGTTCCAGTGCGTAATATGATATTAACATGTTATAAATGTATCTGTTATAAATGTAGCAAACATGTTCTAATATTATTATCTCCAAAATTGCTGAGTGCTTTTTCAATGACAGCGAATACATCATTGTATCATAGAAACTTGGTTGAAAAGAGGAGAGTACCCATAAATTATGGGAGTTCACTGAAAACACTAAAGAGACCCCTGTTCCACCACATTCTATTTAAAAGATTAGTGAATCAATGACAATAAAGTTAATTTTTTTGATGATCCACTAAAAATATTCACAAATGAAGATGTAGATTTTCCCATAACTGCAAAGAACTCAAATATTTGAGATTTATCATCTATGCCTTACTTGGTTTATGTCTGAAATGTAATATTCAGTGTTCAAATAAGCATTGTCCATAGTTCAAACCTGGTTCATCTCTGATTGTCCTGCCATGCTATCTTTCAAAGGGTATAGTATCAGACCCTTTAGCCCTATGCATGGTGGGCCCAAAAGATTAGCCTGAATGTACTTAGAAAACTTAAGTAAATTGGATTATGTGGACAGTCCAGCTGTAGGACTCATGTCTAGCTTTGGGATCATATGTTTCTATTTGTCTTTTGAATACTTGGGTAAAGAAAAGGAACAAGCAGTTACTTGATGGCTGGATAGGCAGGATGTAGGCTGCTTTCTCCGCTGTGGGTGGCACTCGGTCAGAGCTGTGCTGCAGCTGGAGAGGAAGTCAGGAAAAAAAATATAGTTTCTTTATGGTTTTGTGGCCCCTGGAGGCAGCTTTCTGGTTGGCTACACTGCATCCAGGTGACCCCAGCGGCCATCTTCAGTCAGCATAACCTTTTTAAGTGCCTTCCCGCAGGCTCTGGTGCACTTTTTGGCAAGTGGACAGAGTAGGGAAAGAGCACCCATCTGTCAAGGAAAATGATTAGTGGCAGGGAAAGGTTCCGGAGAAGTAGGAACAGGCTAAAAACATGTCCTACATTGGAAGCCTCCCCTTTGGGTTCAGACAGGTCAGGCCAAATTCTGCCCTTGGAGACAGAAGCTGTTGGTGCATCTTACATACTCTTTTCTGCAAGCTTCACAGAACTGTGAGTGTTCCCCAGTGTGGTGCTCTCCTGCTGGGAAGTTTGCATACTTGAACCATTTCATTAGTACAAGCCTTGTTATTTACAACTGGACTTTGTGTGATTACTGTCACCGTACCAAGATGCACCTACTCACAAGGGTATGCCCAAAATAATATGGAGAGTTTGTGGGGAACACTCTTCTAGTGGTTACAATGGGAGAAAAATGCATCTGTCACTTCATAACAAGCTTTTACAAAATACCTAGTGAAGTCAGGGACACTCGGTCAAAAACAAGACA